TTTTTCGTCTTTGTTTTGTATTTTTTTACATTTGTAACTACGAAATTGGCGTCACAAATTATAACGAAATTTGCGATGTATTTTTTACTGTTTAGTGCTTGAAATATTTGCTAAAATTGACTGGGAATACTTAGAGTTTTCATCGTAGAATGGCGTGGTTATATTTATTCGCTCTTTGACTAAAATGTTTAGCTGTATTATTGCTAAACATGCGGTTTTTGAGGATTTGTTTTGCAACACGTCAGCTAGTTTCCTATCCATTTATTTTATTATCCATGCTATCATTATACTCGCCTCTGTAGCTCAGTTGGTTGGACCGTTGGAGCACTGCACCAGAATCGTAGGGTCATAGGTTCACTTCTTACAGGGGACCTAAAGTTGCATTTTTCACAGCTGTTCCTGGTTAGGTGTAATAAAATGTATATATAAATTTCCACTCGATAATTTCCATCAACAACACCATTCAACTTATTAGTCGAGTCTTCATACGACAGGTGGAAACCAGATAATGCGTACTATTTGAAGCCAAGCTGCGAAGATAAACACAGCACATACACTAAAAATAGTTGCCAACAAGACCCGATTTTACAAATAATCGTCTGAACAAATAACTATCTTTCAATGCAAGCATAAGTGTGCCAAATTGATGTCCTTGTGATCAGTGGTTCACACGAGAGCGCATTTCTAAGGAAAGCCTTAAGTGTACTCAAGGAACATGCCCGCTCGCGCAATCGCCTGAATCGGAATTGCAAAATTTTGTTTACGAATCTCCTGCGGCGAGAATGAACATGTGGCGTCTCGTGCAGAGTGATTCAAACCGTGAAATCCCCCAGAAACAATTTCTGAAATCATAATCGAATTAATTAAAACTCTGCTATAATATTCTATGAATTACAGGAATAGCTTCTATCGTGCTATATTGCAATGCAGGGCCCCACGTTCAAACTGTGAAATCCTCCAGAAACAATTTCTGAAATCACAATCGAATGAATTAAAACTCTGCTATAATATTCTATGAATTGCAGGAATAGCTTCTATGATTCTATCGTGCTATTAAAGTGCAGGGCCCTCACATTCAAACTGTGAAATCCCCCAGAAACAATTTCTGAAATCACAATCGAATTAATTAAAACTCTGCTATAATATTCTATGAATTACAGGAATAGCTTTCTATCGTGCTATTACACCGCAGGCCTCCGTTGGTAGGAAAAACACGGATTTTGCCCGAATGGAATTTTACACAGTTAGCCGACTTCCTTTATTCAATTAGAGTTTTGCTATGCTTTCAAAATTTTTAAGCCGATCTTTTGAATTGAAAAGACCGAAATTCGACGTTATGCTGCGTACGCGAGAAGACATTATATAGAGAGGTTTAGCAAAGACGACGCGTCGTCAAAGACGACGTGAAAATGGCGTAAAAATGGCGTGATATGCCCATCTATAGATGTGCCCACGCCATTTTTACGCCATTTTCACGTCGTCTTTGACGTCGCGTCGTCTTTGACGTCGCGTCGTCTTTGCTAAACCTCTCTATTTTAGTTTTCAAATTGAAAGTACTGGGCACTTGGGTTGTTAAATATGGGGTTAAACAGCCTATCTATACTGAGGAGATTTTAATTAGGCTCCACAATTACTTTATCATTCAATTTTTTTTTCTTAGTCGCCACTAGGGCTACGTTTGACAAATGTCTGGTCACCAGATGAAAAAATTGGTCGCTTTGGTGGCTGCATGGCGATTTACCACGGAATAGTGATAAGGTCCTTGAGTGTCAGTACTGTTTTTGAATAGCTGAAGGGTTAGTGGTCACCTAGTAAGGTACGAATTCACTAACCCTCCAGCTATTCAAAAACAGCATTGACACTCAAGAGAAGCTCAGATTGAACCTCCAGCTTTTAGAATACAGGCGTACCTATCAAGACATGTCTTGTTCATGGCTTCTTGTTAATCGATTAAGTTTCATTCTGCGTGGGTAAACATGTGAATTGACCACAGTCAAACTGTGAAATCAACAAAAGCGATCACGAGATACTTCACCGTACTAATTTTACCCTCAAGCGATTCTGATATCGCAGTAGAAATTGCAAATCTAATAAACAACGCAGGCTGCGTTCTGAGAGTAACAGAAATAACTGTTATCGTGCTATTCGTTCTGAGAATAACAGAAAGAACTGTTATCGTGCTATTAATCTGTATGTCTCCGTCCGAAATTGGTTTTTGAACGCGTAGTTCGTCCGACTCATAAATTCATTTAGATCTTGTCACGATTGGGTATACTGCTTTTGCTATTCTGCTTTTTGCTTGGTGGGTGTTAATTAAGGCTGTCCAGTTAATGTTTTTATACATTTATTAAGACCTAACCAGACAGAAGCAACTGCGAAAAATGAGACTATATAGCGCTGCACTGAAATCGCAGGGTCGCAGGTTCGATGTCTGCTATAGAGGACCTAGTATAGTTGCATTTTGGATAAAATTTACACTCGAGATTGCTATCCTTTAAAATCCTTTCAAATCAAGATATAACTGTGCCATACAAAATTTAGTCTTGATTTTACTTCATATCTGGCAGATATAATAAAACACCATACAAAGATCGGTTTTGTACCTTATGTCAATCGAATCAAATTGGAGATCATTTTCACTACTTATTGTCATGCTCCAACCAAAAAATTTCAGAAACTCGAAATACTTTTTTAAATTAAACAATTTATATGGTATCAATAGTTCTTTGCGCTTATTTGATACTAATAATTTATTCTTATATATTATAAATATACATGATAAATCTATCATGAAAATAGTAGCAAAATATTTTCATGATATTCTTCTATTACATTATTATCATTTATAATATATAAAAAATGTAAATGTATTCTTTATAAGCTTATATTTTATAGTTATTATAAAGATACGTTTTGTACCTTTTAATTTTATCGTATGTAATTTCATGTGTGTCTGTATTGGTATTTGATGAATAAAGATTATTATTATTTATTATTATTATTATTATCTTGGATTTTCAAGATACGTCTCTTCGGAATTTGTTTACGCAACTGAGCGGCGCAATTGGATTAAAATCAAAAGCCGTGCTGAAAATTCAGGCTGGACTTTGTATTCCACATGTATAATTTCAACGAAGGGCGCCTCTTCGGAATTTGTTTGCGCAAATATAAACTAAACTGTATACCAATGCGCATGCAATTGGATTAAAAACAAAAGCCGTGAAATTTCAGGCTGGACTTTGTATTCCTACTATTCCACATATGATCAGCCGCATAAGACGATAATAGCCTACGTTTCAACGAAGCGTGCAGGAATGTTAAACTAAACCAATCTACAGAAAAGCAACGCCTATACCGCGGAAACGGGATGTCTGTTTAAAGCTCTGTCGTGTGAATTCTTAGAACCATTACCGAATTCTAGTATTATGCTCCGTCTTGTCCCCAGATATGCCAATTTTTGTACGTTGCGCAACGTGCTGATAGGAACGCTCAACTGTTAACACATCAAGTGTGAAGATCTCACTCGACGGGTGTCCGTGCGTCAACCACTGATTGTCTTAATGTGTTGAGAAATTCTATCTAGGTCTAAGTTGTTTACGTGCTACCATAATCTATTTATGGCAGATATATACGGTCAATTCCTGTAAACACGGCATTGTAATAACATTTCTGCTCGCGATAAAGTACTGTAATTGCAGAAGCAAGGTGATCTTCCACTAAGGTAACTCAAGTATGATTGGTTGATGTGAAAGTTTAGTATATGGGTGCTGTAGTTTGCGCTAGAATTATCGCGTGACTGACCTAACTCTATACACAGCTGTGTGCCTGCATGGGTGCGCTGTTTGTATAAACTATAGTGATATTGCTAATTGATTTTCATTCGTTCGCATTGTATCTGCGTAATTCATTGGCATATGTATGAGCAATACCTTTTAGTGAAGGACTACATAGAAAAGTGATATAAAAGGTAATGGTTGACATCTAAACCTCTGCAAGTATATAGTTGTGTACTTAGGGACGTGCATTTTATTTCTGCTTGATTCAGCTATACTTTATACTACATTTGTGCGAAACTTCGATGTACTACTGTGTACAGGTATAGTGTTGTGATATCTCAAATGTAGTAGTCCAATGTATAGGTAGACAAGTAGTATCTTTGACAGTAAGCCGCTGTGGTTCGTGTCTGAACCATCTGGAAAGGCTACACTACACAAATTCATGTAAATCAGACACCAACATGCCAGCTTAAAACAGTGTTGTGCGCGTTTATTTGAGCAGCTATAATTATAAAGCTAACAGTTCGTACAAAAACGAGGCGTGACAAACTGCGCACACAAACATTCAAATATTTATGACTATAAGGCTTTTACAAGTCAAAACAACCAGTATATTAAACTGTGTAATACTATATATCTGTATATAGAAGCGCATACAAGCGAGCCATACTCGTGCATGCAATAGATAGGCCAATATGGGAACTCCTATACCGGCTTTATAGGTATACGCATCGATCATTTTTTTGCACTATATTGTATAAACGAAGCATAACCCATAATATGCATCCGATACATGAATATATAGTTACTATATAGGGAGTGTTTGGTGCATATTAAAGTGCATGCATGTGTTTTTCACATGTAATTCCTGCAGTGTGCAGTTTTTCCCCCTAAAATAACAATGGACGTTTGCGATGGCCTCTTGGGAGAAAAATTTAGGACTGATATCCACACAAAGTTAGTTGTTCAGTTCAGAAACGCCATAGGCAAGTTGCGGGGAAAATGCTAATCTGTATACTGACACCCTATATAAAAAGCGCTTCTGTAATTATTAGTGACTGTATGGAAGAAGCACTCGACAGTATGCAGTTAACTTAATTTGATCCGCACCAAAAACATGACCCTATATAGATGCGTATTATTTGAGTATCTTTAGGCAAATAAACATCCATTTCAAGGAGATCCAGTAGTTATAGTATTCTAAAATAAACTGATGTGGTTTGTGTGAACTATTTGAGATTGATTTTAAAACAAAGCGAGGCTAATTTTTCGTCCTGCATATCCGAGTGTTTTTTGTTTCGAGGGAACAGCTAATGCGTCTAGATGTATCTAAGAACAAACTCCTTTCCCAGGAGTTTGGAAGTGTTACGTCAGATTCCACCTAAATGACTACGGTAGTCTATACAACAAATGCCTGTATACTAAGTACATATATCAATAATAGTTGCGCATTTAATACTTTGAACACGCTGCAATGCAAGTCATGAATAGTATACTAGTTTTACAGCAGTTTGTTGTTTAAGAAACATCTGTTACAGTGATAACCCTCTTGTGCGCATTGCTGCTTATTTACATCACATATTTTGTTTGGGTGTAATATACTATAGATACTATAGTTATCGTAAAATTGTTGCCACCTAAATTTCTCCTGCAAAACGCATAAAAATTTTAAAATTTCGACTGACACAGAAAAGGTCTATATAGAAACAGGATTATTTCTTTTCCCAAGTGGTCTAACGATATGACCAAAACTGCCTTTTTTCAAAGAAAACAAAGACTTTTGAGAGCGATCATGCAACTGTTGAGAAATTACGATTGTAAGCGCCATTTTTCTCCGGTAATTTAGCACGCTATTTTATTGGCTATAGGGAATCATGATATCAAACACTTATACTAAAGAATTTCAAGACTTTTCAAGACTTTTCAAAGACCTTAAAGATGTACATTCTTGTAATTCAAAGACTTTCAAGGATTTCAAAAACTGCTGTATGTTTATGTATATAGGAACGAAATCATTCGTTTCATAACACAGATACAGAATGGCCTGACAATAAAAATGTGAACCACCCAAGGGCCTATACGAGTGAATTTGTTTTTATCACATTCGAAACGAGTGAATTTGTTTTTATCACATTCGAAACTATATAGAGATTTAAATATATTGAGATTTGAAGAGTTCTCTCCAAAATCGAAAGAAACATAAAAGAATTATTTTCGTTCTGCATACTTAATTAGTCGACTCGATTCGACCATTCGTCTAACCAATTTTCAAAAACAGAACAATGACAGGATGTGATAATTCCGATTAATTCGCGTGTTTAAGCACCAGAGGCACCAATATTGCTTCTTGGTTTTCAACAAACAGCCACGTAGGTATGCACATGTGACCAGCAAAATTGCAAGATATTCAAAACCGTAAATCTAACATCTTCAACATGTTTTGGCATGAAATATGATTGGACTGATGCTGTGAGGCATGACTAAGGAATGTTAGAATCGATGACATGTGTTTGTATACGTAGTTTAGAATGAATACGTTTTGAAAAACTGCGCTTTCTGTACTTTACACATTGAGTGTTTAGGTTGTAGCGGCTCAAGTACAAGGCAATAATCATTGGATTACCACTGACGTACAAATATAAACAGCAGTAATCGCACCATGGCAATTGCATGGTCTGAACACACACTGTCTGAAACTTAACCAGATCTTTCCATTATGGGTATAGAATTTCTAGTCTGACAGGGTAAAATGGGGGACTCCCTTGGGCTTGCCATGAAACTTGCTTACTAAACAAAACCTTCATACACTTGACCAGATGTTTTCATCAGAGATATAAAATTTCAAGTTCAACCGGTCTGACAATGTATAAGTGGAATAATCCCTAAGAACAAATTCGCTTACCAAACAAAAACTTCAAACACTAGTCCAAAGTTGTTTCATTCAAAATATAATACATATTTGAATGCAGAGGTTTGTTAAATTATCTCCAAAGTCATGGAAAGAAACAAGAAACATAAAAGAATTATTTTCGTCCAAACAAAGAAGAACCAAAAATCTTTCTGAGAACCAATAATCTTAACCAGATTTTCGGATGCCACCACAGACATAGAATTTCAGGTCCAACCTGTCTGAACTTTGACGAGATCATATGGGAAATTCCCGTAGAGTAAATTTCGCTTACTACACAAATTCATCATGCACTATATAAACTTAAAGTTTCTTTTTCTATCGCATTTGTAGACAAGTGCAAAGCAGTAGTGCAAGATGCATCGTTTACACAACTGGTGGACATCGTGGTCCTTGAGTATATCGTTTGGAAGAAAAAATTCATCCTCAAATGTCCCTTCGACGTCGAATGGCAGTAACTTTAGCTCTGGAAGTGTTGTATCTGCCCTAAAAGACAGCACTAAACTAACTAGCTCAAACACAAAGAAAGTAGTACGCTTTGCAGAATATAATGGTCAAGTAGTTGCACAAGTTTTTGACAATGGTGACAGGGACAAAACTATCAATGTGAAACAGCCCTTAGAAGAATCCCTGGACGAAGTTTTCATAAAAGACGGACGAATATCAGGACTTATTAAAGTTAAACACTTAGAATCAGGGAGACAAGTTTTAGTTCGCTATACTGAAGACAACTGGAGAGGTTTTAGGCAAGTCGAATCAAGGAGAGTTGAGGAAATAATGAATTCAAAAGGCAAAATTCAAATAAAACGAGTTAAAGAAAGGAATAGTATATTATCGAGGCGACGAAAACAGGTTAATCCAAATGTTGATTATACGTATTTGTTTGAATTTTGCATCGATCAAGCTGAGGTACATCAAGTTGAACTAGTTGTAATCTCAAGTTTAAATGATGTGATCGACACAAATCATAAACAGTGTTACCAGATCAAGTGTTCTCGACTTGGTTGGGAAGCAAATGGTACAGGGCCAAGCCCAAGAGACATCTATGACAGTAGCAATTCCAGACAATCATAGAACATCAATGGTGAGTAAAGTATTTATGAATTATATGAAGCACATATGGTAAAAACCTGTTTAAATCAATTCACTGGTTAAGACTTAAGTACCATTATGAACAATCTGGGCCAGTGCAGATAGTAATTAGGGTTCTACTCATACAACTACCTGAAAAATACAAGGAGAACTTCGACGTATTGAGCAAAGGCTCTTCATCGAGAAGTTAGTAGTGGGGGTTGGGAAGATTACATGAGCTTTTATACCAGTGAATATAAAAGTGATCATGTGACAAAAAATAAACCAATCAGATGGAATTAGTCAAAACAAAGTGTAAACAAAAAAAAGGTAAAATATTTGTGCAAAATTGCAAAGCATTGAAACTAAGTGGATAAGTGGATCACACACTTGATAAGTTCAACAGAAGGCATACATCTACAAAGACAGAGTAGATGCAAAAGCTTATAAAAATAAGAGGATTTTTTCAGATGGTTTGAACCGCCTAACCCTAATAACATATACTGTCCACGTCAAAAGCAATCCTGATTTTTTCTGTGTTGGTGCAATGTACTCAGGTGAATATGATGCTTGTGATGTTACTCTGAGTGTATATCCACACCGGGCAAGCTTGAAAAATATACCTGACCACGGTGGGAATTGAACCTATGACCTTTGGACGCAATCCTAGTGGGGATATTGTGAAATATTTGGGGGGGGGGATTAGGTTGCCAACATAGGGCCACCTTTTGTAGCTGGAAATTTTGGTTCTTTACAAATGCCACAGCTTGGCAAGATGTATTCATATCATGTCACCTTAAATGTATTGTATTTGTGTATTGTAAGCTTTGTATGGAATCTGTTGGATTTTTGTCATATTAATAATAAAGGGTTTTTTTTCAGATGCTTTTTTCAAACTGTATTGACGCAATTTGGAAAAGTTTGAATGCAACTTTGACCATTTGTTGTTCCGGTGAAAAGGTAGAGATGAGATTCATATGTATGCATAATACAATTTGTGCAGTATATATGTACCATAGAAACTTTGGCGAGTTGTTGTTTCCTAACAACATTAGATAACTGGAGACAGTTATATTTAAACAGTAGGTATGTTTTGACTACATTTTAGGTAGTTATATATATATATATTGTAGTTAACTGTACAATGATAGGGAAAGGGATATATTGCAATATGCCATATATATGTCAAACAGCAACCACAGTTAAAAGCTGTTTAATAGCCTGTAAAGTGTAATTGCAACTTTATACTGACAATTCCATTAGAAATAAGCATAAGTGCTTGAATTAAAGGTGTACTGTGTACATATTTTAATTCTTGCACTTGCTAGCTGGTAATATATATGAAAATTGAAAAGCAAAATGAAATTGATCATCATCAAAATATAGCGCTACTCACATCCGTGACATCACCACGTGTTTACGCTTGTATTTCTGAACCTGAAAGTTGCCTTAAATCTTTTCCCAATAACAGCTTTTTTTCTTGTCTATTTTGCTTTGTTTACATTTTGAGTACATCATCAATTCTTCAGTGCATTTTATTTCACTATTTAGCAGTATTAGGCCTATCGGAAAAAAATTCAACCAAAAATGTCTGTTTTCTATGCCAATTTCAATGTCTTTTGGCCGCCATGTTGTTTTCAAATTTTGTCCAAATTTAAAATTACCGCTGACGGTAAAACATGTTGCTCTGATTGGTTCATTGTGGAAATATGTTGCTTCTGATTGTTTCATAGGATTTTGTTATCTGCCGCAGAACTTTCTGAAATTGCTATTTTACTAACTTCATCAGTTTGGCATTTTCTAATGATTTCATTCCAAATGAAATCAAGAATTATTTGGAATGGTTATTAGTGCTTTCTGTGACGAACAAAAACCTAATGGGGCCATGTACTTACACAAGTCAGTTTTTGTTACTCAAATACAAAGTGATGAATTCTTGTGAATAGAGCAACCTTTAAAAAAGGCTGTAGAAAGGCTATTGTGCCTTGTAAACCATGTAAATATATCAAATGGTGGGTTTCTGTATAACGCTTTACCGGGTGGCAGATGGTGGTATAAACTTCAAAAATATTGAGACTGATTGAGGCAAGAAAATTCAACCGCATCTCACAAGACACTGATTTTTCATTAACTACCCATCATCTGGTGCGCGATAGTGCGATCATAAAATGAAACCCACCTGTAAAGAGGCCACATATATGGTCAAAACGCGTGGCAGTGCCACAAGGTTTCACTGATCGTGAAATATAACGCAAATTCCATAGTGGACATTAAGATAAATATGTTGAGAAGTTTGTAATTCATGTGAAGCAATGAATTTGTGTTACGATGTAAAGCTTCACGAAGAGCTTTAGCCTGTAAGGTCTGTTTTATACGTCGAATTTTGGTCGCCTCGAATGCAATTAAGACAATATAGATAATAAACCTCATTAAGCTTCATTATCTATTGTTTGAATTGCATTCGACGCGACCGAAATTCGATGTATAAAACTGGCCTAAGTTGAAAAACTGGTCATTTGTAATAAACTGTTGACCAGATGTATTGGTATGTTACTATATGTTATGTACGGTTCTTAATTTATTGCAACTAGTGTATAATCAGTGTGGCTGATCAGTTTCATGTAAGATGACCCCTGAAGTTTGAATTCAGTGCACCTGGCTTCGGCTGTTATTTAGTATATTTCTTTACCATTTCGTTTGTGATCTTACTTGAAATTGACTCTCACAAGTTATGTAACTTATATCCGTGGTTTTGGTATTGTCTATAGACGCATTTGCAAAGCAAAGTAGTAGTTTTAAAATTGACAACAAGCGTTGCGCTCATTTTGACGATATATAAATTTGCAACAAAGGCCACTGATCTAAAATAATAGACTGGATTCTCCAACCATTAGTAATACAATTAGCGATAATTGTATTACCAATATTTTTCATTCCTGCTTTAATTAATAGCAGACAACATCATTATTTTGACATATACAGGCTTATACAATGATCTTACAAGTTTAAACCGGTGTTTCTAGCAGTTAGGTATCGTCAAGGTGGGCGGTCGCTAATGCGTGTTGTAATCCTTTTCCGGCAAACATAAAACTAATGCTATTCCGAACTAAAACAATTATATGTTTACCAAATATTCTGTATTTCATGATCATTTCGAGAAAAAACTTGAATATCTCCTAAACTCTGCAGAGTTCTCCCCAAGTCAATGTGAGTAAAATATTCCTTTAACAACTCATCTATTTTAAAAACTATATATTTCGAATCTATTTTGATTTATCTTCTTGTATTACAGTTTTTAAAATAGATGTGTTGTTAAAATGCATACATTTTTTCGGAATAACACTAGTTTTATGCGTGTGTTGTAATTGGTAAAGTTGTTTCAAACAATTAAAATAGTACTATAGTGTGTGACAACTTCTGTCAGGGAAGTAAAAACTGCATTTATTAAAAAAAAAGTTGAACAAAAACTGCTGTCTGTTTCATTATTTGTACCACTAATGTATCGATCAATTCGAAACTTCACCATCCCCCCCCCCCCGGGCATACCCCGGGAATTTGACTTCAAGTCTTCTCCAGGGAGTAGGGAATTTGACGTTTTAAGTCTTCCATGTGGTGGGGCATTTGATAACGGGGTGGGGAATTTGAACCGGAAGTCTTAAAATGTTGCCCGTTTTCGCGTGCTTCCTGCATGCACAGAAAATACTTCGTAATGGCGGCAAATACAGTTTTCTCAGATTTCGAGGGAAACGGCCTCAATTTTGTGAAAAAACTGGCTCAAAGAAACGGGCATGGAAAATCTATGTGTTTCATTTGAAGGTATGTACTACATAACTGTGTAAAACTGTTAAATTTCCACAAGGTATCCAAACTGTTTACGCGAATTTCGCTATCTTGTCGAAAACATTTCCGTATATTTTGTACTTTTTGTATTTGCTGTTTCATAATTTTCATATGAAGGTGGGGCATTTGAACGCTTAATTTCTTGTTACAGTGGGGCATTTGAAGACATTTTTTGCACAGAGGGTGGAGAATTTGATCAGTCAAATTTCAAAAAGTTCAAATTCCCGGGGTCGGCCCGGGGGGGGGATGGCGAAGTTTCGAATTGATCGATACATAACTCCAAATATGATTTTGGTATGTGTAATATTTGGGTCATTCTGACAAGAAAATGTAATATATCTTTTATAGTAAAAAGTTATCTTAATTAATCAACTTTTTCCGCTACCAAAGCTGCCGGATATGCCTTTGTTTTTTTTTGGCGGTAAATTTCATCATTCACCCCTTTCATAATACAGACGGATTTAAATGTTCTTTTTTGCGCATCTTGATCATAGTCTATGCCTATGATTATTGCATCATGATTAGGTAATCGTGGTGACCCTATACGACACCCACAAGTGCTGATACATTATAAGTTTTGGTTCGTGGAAACACCACGTATATTTATTATTGCAAAGCTTTCAATTCAATTTCCATCATTGGTGATAGAGGTTCAGATTTTGAATTCCACTACCGCCAGAGGTGGAAAAAATAGGCGAGCACGCGAGCACTGCTCGCAGGAAATGTTAAACAGCTGCAGGAAATTCCTTCGAATGAAGATTTGCTATTGAAAATTTGAAGGAAACTTTAACACCCATAACCCACTATGGGCGTAACAACATATGGTTGACAGACATTATTATAAAACCATGGTCAGCTAGAACACTATATGTTTATGCACATGCAGATTTAGCACAAAAATACTCCGTTGGTCTGCAGGATATTTTTGTCGCCAGGTTGTGCTCCCAGGAAGAATTTTTTTCCTGCCCTGACTACCGCTACACGGTTAAACAATCAGATGCGTATGAAGCCAATGACTAAAGAAATATATAACATTAATGCTCCACAAACATTTAAAAGTATATGTGTCAAGTGTCACTCGTGTCGTCCGTTGTCCAGTCTTGTGGATAAAATGTGTTATAAATAATGTAATGTTGTTTTTTTTGTGTTTTTTTTTTATATATACATATTTACATATTATTAGAGACTCTGTAAATGGAGCATTAAGCTCTGTAGGGTTAACCTGTCATTTATGACTAAGTTTGTAAAAAAAAAAACAAAAAAAAAACAGTGAGAGGTAATTCATGCATGGCCACTAGGAAGTCATACCTGAACCACAGAATAAGGCACACAGAAGCTGACTCGTCCCCAGTCGTCTCTGTGAGGACGCGCGAACCCTGCGCGCGCTTTCCAATTCGCACTTGCTCACAGAGACGACTGGGGACGAGTCAGACACAGAAGGGACCCTGGTCGCCATCTTCCTAGCCAGTCGAGGCCCCGCCTTCTGGCCAGTCAACTGCATATTTTTGCATAGAAAAATGGTGACACGTTGCACCGCTGAGTGGCCCTTCTGGTACTGATCTTTATTTTGTGCCTGAACCTCTCTATTAATATACGACTTATTTTATATTTTGCAATGTTTAATGTAATGTGAGTTTGAAGTATGCGACGCAGGCTATGTAATCCAACTATGACTATACCTCCTTTTTTCTCAAAGAAATTAAGTTTCATATGTTAATTGTCAATATTGTTTATTTATGATATTTTTACTATATTTACCATATTAGTGTTTTTAATATAAATCACATCAAATGTTGGGGTTGAAATCGCCTCCCCTAATTCTCGCTGCCCGCGTCTCAACGTCCAGCCCAGGCTCACTTCTATATATACACCCGAATTTGATATAAACGGCTATAAGTTATTATTTACATAATTAATGAATGTATATTAATGTCGATAGTGTTAGTTCTAGCTTGGATAGGTCATACATTCTCCTATAATACCTTGTAGTAGGGATACAGCGTATATCATATTAGAAATTTCATATCGAATATTGTTTAAATGAGATTCGGGGTTTCTTTCTAGGTGTTTATCATATTCCCATGGAAAAATCTCTGTCCAGTGCACCCCTACCTTATAGAATCCTAAAAAAGTAACTCGCACGAGCTCAATCTTGCAAGACCTTCAACAATAATCTCAACATTCATTCTGTACAATATCAAAACTTTACAGATTATACTTTGACGTTCTTGAGCTCAATTCCTCCACGAGGCACCGCGCCCGATTCATTTTGGTAAACGAGAGAATATGATTTCTTCGAGGATTTCTGACGCGAAGATACAGGGCATCCTGTAGGCTTTTTGTACCTGGCAATAAGGAATTCAAAGAAAATCAGTACCGGCTTCTTGCAACAGACGTCTTGGGCTTGGAAGCGTTCACTCGAGAACATTTCATCTTATATTCCGTGGCTATAAAATATGCCGAAAGTAGGCATAATTTATAGCCACATGGGGAAAGCATACAAAAAACTGGTTATATTATAAATAGTAGTATGGTGTATCGACCAATTTAGGAGTACATACACTCATCCTTTCGACTCGTGCAATTTTGATCGTCTTTGAAAAATTCACTTCTGCATGTTTTTCCCCAAATTGCACTTGAAACGATCCTATATTACCTATACAAATTTTTCGGGTAAACTTACAGTTTTAATAAAAGAGACGAAAGTACAACCGAGACTGAAGAAGCGGCCATTGCACCGGACGCCATCCAAGGCTGTAAGGTAACTCCAAGTGTATGAAATGCTCCTGCAGCGATAGGTACCCCTACACAGTTATAAACTGAGGCGTACACAAAGTTCATTCTTACACGACGTACTGTAACACGTGACAAGTCGATTGACGTCACCACATCCATCAAATCACTCTGCAAGAAAGATGACATTTATCTTTTCAATTAACTGACCTCCACCAAGAGGTTATGTTTTCACCGGGTTTCACCATAAAATACGATACGATACATCCCCAGGACTTTCTAAATAAGCCGGCGAGTTGTCACGAGGTTTACCGCGGTCACTTTGTTTAGTGCTTGATATCAATTCTGCTCTCCTTCCTCCACTCTAAGCTTTCAAACAAAGTTACTCTTCCTCAACCTGCTTTACTTTATAGCCTGGTTATTTTGGAAAACGACGTACTGTTTCGTAAAACAGTGGTTTAGTTATTTACCATCATTAATTTAGATAAAAGTTATCTTGTCGAAAAATGAAAGTAGTGATACATTATAATTTGGTTCCAGAGCTCAGTTGTGTTGCCATCTAATCAATATACACCAGTTAATTTGGATGACTTTAAGACTTCCCAGACAGCTCCCCACAGCCGCCTACTTTATCAACACAGACACAATACACATGGAAAAAATCTCTGTCCAGCACATCCCTACCTTATACTCTGAGAACTAACAAGCTAGAACTAACACTATCGACATTAATAGTTGACTTCGATACAATAGTTGATTTGGATGACTTTAAGACTCCCTAGACCGCTCCGTCCCCACAGCTGCCTACTTTATCAACACAGCCACCTACTCGGAAAGTAGGAAACTAATAATTCGGAAAGCCCTGCACTTCGATACAATACAATAAACTTGAGGAAACCTGTATGTCTGTTTATCCTATTGTTACCCTTACCTTAATAAGAACAACATCAGCAGCCTCAACAGCCACGTCGGTCCCAGTCCCTATTGCGATGCCAACATCTGCCGCGACCAGAGCAGGCGAGTCATTGACGCCATCGCCTACCATGGCAACCGTATCACCATCAGTTTGAAGTGATTTCACTTTGTCTACCTTGTCTGAAGGTAACACTTGAGCAAAAACATGCTTGATTCCAAGCTATAGGCGACACAAGAATATATATACTCAAAGAGTATTAACGTAAGCCAAGATATTGCTGTTGGCAATTAGCATTTCTCACGGACGATTTTCCCGCCATTTTGGGGGTACTGTCTCTCCCACATTTGAGAGTCTCCGCACCACGAAATGCGACTTTTTATTATTATAGTTGTTTGTATAATGGTAATTTTTTATACAGTTACAACTTTTAAAAGTCGCTTTTTACGTTGTTTGAATTGTCTAGAATCTTTCATGAAGGCAGACAGTATCCAAAAAATGGCGGATTTTGGCCTTCGCGAGAAAGGCTAATTAAGTCGAAGAACCCACTGAAAAACCCACAGCGAAACGGGTTCTATTAATTGTAGTTCTATTCTATTATCGAAAGTGATCGAGGTCTGCGCAATTTCTAAAATCGCAATTCAGAGCTCAGCTCACCTGTTTTGCAATGGCCCAGGCAGTCTTCTCATTGTCCCCAGTCAACAAGACGACCTTAATTCCCATCTTTTGTAACGTTGAAACTGCAGTAGGTGCGTCTTTCTTGATCGTATCTGCAACAGCTATCATGCCAACCAGAACACCTACACATTATTGAATCATTGTTAATAATCCGTTGAGAAAATGATTCTCACTATACCATTTGAGCCAGCAGTACTCACCATTGATAGCAATAAGGACAGCGGTATGTCCTTTGTACTCATGCTCCTCCATCGTCTCGTCCATATCTTTGGAGACAGTCAATCCATTCTGCGCCATCCAGTTACGATTTCCGATCAGTGTTGAATACACTTGTGTTGTTTGGTTTTCTACAATGCAGATATCATTTCCTCAAAAGCTTTTCACTTAAAACTAAAGCTTAAGGTTACAGGACACCTTTTTGAGCTCAAAAATTGCAGAATTTTTTTCATGTTTAAACATCTTACTAGTGGAACTATCATTTCGCAAATTTTGAAGCGAAAAATTTTACAATTCTTGGTTGAAAAAGAACATCGTTGCAACTTAGTTACTCGGTTTGGATAAGTTATTATGAAGACATAATACGCATGCGAACTTTAAATCTAGGCTGAGGCAGTACTTTCCTTGCGACAATAACTTCTAGAATAATGACGTAATTGACTAACCATCACTTGACGTAGGTATGACGTCACTATCGGTAAACTTTCTTTTCTCTTTCAAAAGATTTTCAATCCCGGAGATCTTACACTGGAGACCAAATCCCGGTACAGCTTGGTAGTCTGAGCATTGACCAAACTGCTCTGTTCCAAGAACCTTGACAAATATCAAATACAAATACCATTTAAATACTACAATGACTATTGAAGTGTGGTGCTTCAATGCAAGTTAAAAGGTGCACAGCCCATGCAAAGAAAAAACCCAACAGAAATGCACACGATTTTGTATCATACTCAAAAATCCCTCGTGAATCACCTACCTCCTTTGCGTACGTTGTAATAGCAGAGGCAATTGGATGTTCGCTGTTTGCTTCCGCTGTCCCCGCAACAGCCAACAGCTGGCGCACAGTACACACATCGGGTTCCACAAATAATGCTGTTTTCATCACTGAAGGTCGGCCATGGGTCAGAGTACCAGTTTTATCAAACACAACCGTCGATACCTAAAAATTACCATGTACAGGTTATGGCTGTGAATGTAACTCATGGTACAGAGGGAGGCGACCTCTTTACTAAAGTTGTTGACACAGAGATGGATCCAGCCAGATCTGAGGCGGAAGAAGGGGTTCTTTAGAATGGCTCCAATGAAAGTGAATATGCTGCAGAAACCTTTTGAAACCTAGTTACATATGGAAGTGGGAAGCATACCATTTAACATTGAGGATCGGACGATGCTTCGTCGGCCAAAAAGTCTTATGTTAAAGTTTGTAACGTACCTTATGACAGGTCTCCAACGGTTCCCCTCCTTTGATCAGGATTCCATTTTGGGCACCAATGCCCGTGCCTACCATGACCGCGGTGGGAGTGGCTAGACCCAGGGCACACGGACAAGCGATAGAGAGAACTGTGATGGAGGTTAAAAAAGCAAACTGAAAGATCACTTCATTGTCGCTGAACTCAGGCTGAAAAAAGCAGAAGAGGAATATTAAAGTTCTCCACGCATATCAACCGGGGAAGGTAGGTAGGCATATAAAACCTTAACCGTTAACCTCATAAACTGAAGTTAGTTTCCACGAGGGAGTAGCCAGATCAGGAAATTTCGGGAAAGAGAAAAATACTCGATTCTCGATGGAACAAATGGTGTCTTAGAATACATTGTCATCTTAGAATACATTGATATCGAAGGAACTGTTCTCAGTTCCGAAATATCAACAACTCGAACCGACTTGACCTCGTAGCTCAGTTGGCAGAGCATTGGACTAGTATCCCAAAGGTCGCGGGTTCGATTCCCACCGTGGTCAGGCAAACTGCTCAGCTTGCACGGTGTGGATGCACAATCGGAGTAACAATACATACATTATTTGTATGCATTGTCTCTATAACTCCACTTCCTACATTCTGAAACATGAGATTTTATGATACTTTTTCTACCTCTAAATTGTATACTGAAATACAACATTACATTTCCCCCAGGTCAACAACTTACATCACGTGAGTTAGAAATGATGTCAATATCCACGTAGCCAATTATAATCCAGATAATAAGCGTAAGGCAAGATAATGAAATTATCACGGGAACAAAATATCCTGCAATGGTGTCGGCCAATTTCTGGATCGGTGCCTGTTGGAAAAAAATTGTGATTTGATTGTCAGTTGTTACTGGTAAAACACCAAATTTATAAAAAAGCTGTTTGATCTGAATTTCACGTTAACCCTCCAGGCTTGCCCGATTTGAGGGATCGCCTGCCATGCAGGCTACGTTAACCCAGGGTTAGGCTAACCCAGCTTTGAACAACTGGCCCCAATGCAAGTTAAAAATGTCATGAGAAAGCAGCAGCATCTTCTTGGTTGCGAAAAAGTATGTACCTTGGAAGTCTGAGCTTCTTCAACCAACTTCACAATCTGTGACAATGTAGTGTCCTTGCCAACGTGCGTCGCTTCGACAATGAGTGCTCCATGTTGATTGATAGATCCTGCAATCACACGGTCCCCAGGATGTTTGGGTACCGGCATTGGTTCCCCGGTGATAAGTGCCTCATCCGCCATAGACGACCCTTCCAATACGCGGGCATCTACCGGAATTTTTCCCCCGGGTAGTATCTAAGAAACAAGAAGATCTTTTTTAAGCCTATGTCGGATGCACAACCCATAAGCAATTTTTGGTAGAGGTGGGTGCCCCCCCCCACGAGAAAGTCTCCGCCCACTGCATCAATCAGTGCATCCATCCTCACCTTCAGTACGTCTCCTCGTTGGACGAGTTCAACATCAATCAATGTCTCATCGATAATATTTCCTGTGGTCGAATCAACTTTACACAGCAAAGCTTCCATAGGTTGTAGAGAGAGTAGTTTACTAAGCGCTTCCGATGTCTTGCCTTTAGCGATATGTTCCAGCCAACGACCAAGACCAATAAAAATCAGAAGTGCCGGCGGAGTTTCAAAGAATGTCCTTGGACTTTTGGAAAATTGTAACACTATCGCGACAAATAGCACTGCGACCTGCAAAATTTCAAATGTGAGAATATATTTGAAACGTCAATGTTCATGCAGTGTAGGTCGGCAAGAGTTTGGGAAGAATTGGTTTCGTTGTTTTACACTTACGGAATAAACGTATGCAATGGTTGTTGCCAACATTATAAGAAGATCCATGCTTGCCGCCTTATGTCTCAGAGCTTTATAGGCTGACTTGTAGAAATTTCGACCACCAATAAACTGAAAACATATAAATTTATATTAAGCTATTTGAACGTTTAACATAGTGTAGTTAAAATATACCTTCCTAATACTCTCCTTCCGGAAAGTAGCTAGGTAGGTGGTAGGTAAAACTTTATTTCACCACGCTAACCCCTACAGCAGAAAGCTAATTTCCACGGGGAGGGGGGTGGGGGGGGCGCGTAGGTATTTATATAAAGATTTTCATGTCAGTAAAGTATGTCACTTTGACCATAGAGCTTCGTTTTCGTGGCGTTAGTTAAAGTCCAACGTCGCAGTCTCTATAGCCAAGGGGACGTATTTTCTGGAAGCGACTATATTCTAATTTGTGATATTGAAAACATTCTCTTTCAACAAGTGATTCGAGTACAATTGTACAGCCGTAGTATTGTATAGTCCAGTATACCTGCACAGGAGTACACAGTAAGAAATAGAGTAAGTTCTCCAACGACAATCCAGCCGTGATTTCAACATGAGGATCCTTGCCATTGCTACTCAGCAAGGAGAATACGATCATACAGATCATGACTGGAGCGCCAAATACGAGTGAGATGAGGAATGATCTTCTCCATCTAAGAATTTACAACAAACAAAACATTAAGAGGAGATCTTTTTGTATGTTACGTAACACGCGCTCAAAACTAATGCGTATAATATATCACTTGAGGTTATGATTAAATTCAAAATTTTTATTTTTCGATACGTTTCTCAATCGGCAAACAAACTTAAAAAGTATTTTTAGTGCTTTATCTGTAAAATAATGCTAAAATGAAGAGATTTTAAATGATACGCCAAAGAGAAAATGATGTCTGAAGTTCAGTAAGTTTTGCTTATATCGCTCTAAATATGGCGTCAATTTTAAAACATCATTGATAATTGTACTTTAATTGACAATTTTTAACTATTATTTTATTTTTCTCAACCGGCTGATGCATTTAAAAAGGTAGCTAACTCTATAAACTAGAGAATAAAGCTAAAACAAAGTAATTTTGAATACTTTTCATCGCAAATACGTGACATTGAAAAAAATTGCCTCTTAATTGCATTTTTCGCAGCTGCTCCTGCTCAGGTCTAAAATCGTATATAATCTTCCGCCCATCTACAAAAACCCAAGCACAAATACACTCTTTCAATAATTACGTCACAACTACACTGTTTTCAACTTAGGACCACCTTGAATGGAAAGGATTTCAAGGTTTTTTCTCATGGGCTATGCACAGAGAAGCAGAACATCCTTCTTCAACACATGCATGCAAAAAATTTTGGATTTTGATCAATAAATATGGAAATAAGCATCAACACGAAAACGAGGCTAGCCTCGTTTTCGTGTTAAAGCTTATTTCTACATTTATTGGCCAAAATAAAGAATTATTTTTCATGCATGTGTTGAAGAAGGATGTTCTGCTTCTCTGTGCATAGCCCATGAGAAAAAAACTTGAAATCCTTTCCATTTAAGGTGGTCCTAGGTTGAAAACAGTGTAGTTGTAACGTAATTATCGAAAGAGTGTATTGTATAATCTTGCAGAGAAGTTAGACATTTTGTTGACTTACTTTGCTATTTCCGACTTGTGACTGACATGCTCCCGAGCATTCTTATTGTCCGCCAGTTCAACTTCATAACCGAGCTCATTCACAACCTCCATGATATCCCTGGGGCCAATTTTGTCAGACTGGTATGAGATATGGGCTTTTAGTGCAGCTAAAGAAACAGACGCTTGAAGGATCCCATTTCGTTTCATCAAGGTTGACTCAATCATTGAAACACATGATGCACAAGTCATTCCTTTTATCTAAAAAAAAAAGAAAAACATACGCATGCCTTAAGCTCTGGGAAAAGTGAAAACTCATATCCTGGGTTTCAACAGAGCTGATCTTCGAACACATAGATCTACTGTATATGAATCTGTACCACAGGGGTGGAAAAAATAGGCGAGCACGGGAGCACTGCTCGCAGGAAATGTTAAACAGCTGCAAGAAATTCGTTTGAATATGAAGATTTGCTTTAACCTACCAATAAATCTATTTCAGCATTTTCATCATCACCGCCAACCACCACAGCTTCATAACCAACAATGGCAATTTCTGCTGCAATCTGTTCTGGACTAATCTGTGTTGGGTCATACTTCACTTCTGCTTTCTGTGCCAGTAACCCAACCAGAGCAGAAGTTATACCTAAATAGTTGGAGAAATTGGAAATTGCACAACAACAGTAAAGCGCGCGTGGCACGATTTAAATAGCGTTAACCTTTCAAGAAAACTATGTACACCTTGAATAAACGTTGAAGGCATGTTCTATAATCCAACGGTGTGATAATTCGCGTACTTATGCACCGGAAGTACACTAATATTATAATCTGGTATTGGATCAATTGTAGTTAATATACCACACATAAGTGTAATAGTGCTCTATAGAACTGTATCGTTCTTTAATAAATCAAACTACGAGATAAGACAAGGAGGAGCCAGACTGTAAAGTATTATTTTTGCGCGGGGAACTTTTCCGTCGTAACTGGCAGTTGCGCGGAAATGAGCATAAGAACATACATAAGCAAAACATACAGAAGCTTATTTGCTCTTAAGCTTATTTACTATGCTTTAGTCTATCCATATCTTATCTATGGAAATATAATCTGGGGTAATACCTACAAAAAAAAGAAGAATCCAAAAACTTATGAATATTCCAAAAAAAATTGTGCGCCTTATGACTTTCAACTCTTATTTGGCACATAGCGAACCAATTTTTAAAGATTTAAAATTTCTAGATATTTATAAAATTAATGACTATTTAATAAGTCTATTTATGTTTCGATATCACTATGCCAAAAATCTACCAGAGGTATTCACTGATTACTTTGTGACCAATGATCAAATCCACCAACACAATACAAGAAATAAAACACAACTCCACAAGTCATACAAAAGAACGAACTATGTAAAACATACTCTTTCAAATAAAGGAGTCGATGTTTGGAATGGACTTGAATGTCATTTTAAAAATATAACTTCTCGTAATACTTTCAAAAATACTATAAAAGAACACTTCCTTCAAATATCAAGTAATTAATCAAATAATATGTACAATGTAACACTTTATGCTGTAAATAGCTTTCACATTTTCTCTCTTTCTTTTCTTTTAACTATAATACTTATTGTAATATATTTTAAATTTGGTTGACTGTATAGTCTGTAGTTAGAACTAGCATCTAAATTTTATAACTATAGGGGTCTTAAATAAAAGCCTGTTAAGGTTTCTGGTAGGCCCCTACCATAACATTAATCTAAATTTTTTTTCAATGTAAATATTTATATGTTATAATATATGGGCAATAAAAGGAAAAAAAACCATTTGAGAATGGTTGCATAATGTCCGTCTCGATGTCCACAGTTAAAGTGCCACCATGATTGGCGTTGAGCGGAAAAATTTCGAAAATTTGGAGTCTCTGGATCGTCGGAAATGGAATTTTCAGAGTTTTCTCTAACTATTCTAGCAAGGCCCAACACATAAGAGATAGAATAAATCATTAGTTCATCAAAAATATGCAGATTTTGTAAGGATTTTCTTGAAAATGCGCGGACAAAAATTCTGCGCGGGGAACGTACGCGTTCCCAAACATTACAGTCTGGAGGAGGAACAGATTTGCATATACAAACTCAGAAACGTTCCTCAGTCCTATCTTGTCCTATCAGTCCAATCGGATATCCCTCCAATCATGTTTCATGCCAAAGCAGGTCGGATTTACACATAAAACTACTTAATTACGATTTTTGAATACACTGAGCTTGAAAATTTTGGTGGTTAAATGGTACCATTAAAATGTACTGTACGCAGATAGCAAGAGTACTGTGTATACCTACGTAGTACTCTACTGATCAACCAACTAGTAGGCCAAACAACCAACCAATCTTAATCTGTCTGACCAGCTATAGCCAGAAGTTCTAGCTGTCATGCAGTAGCTGATCAGCTTGCCGAGCTAACAAACCAACCACCCAGTTTAAGTTGGTTACATGACCAGTAAGCAGACCATCCAGCCAACATGCCTGCTGGTTGACTAGTTATCAACTAGCCAGCAAGTAGACCAATTAATAAACCAGCCAGCAATCGTTTAAATCATTAGGACAACCAACCAGTTTAAACTAGCTGACAGTTCAACAAGCCAACTTGCCAGCTAATTGACCAGCCAGTCAGCCACTTGACAACTGAACCAGACACCCAACCTGCCAGCTACTCAGCCAGCCAGGTTTTCAATTCATGAAATACCAATTTAGTACTTTACCATGTTTCTTAATCAGAGACTTCTCAATGAGTGAAACGCACGAGGCACATGTCATTCCCTTAACTTTCAAAAATACTTTGGCAGTGTGAGGTATTGTTTCTTCTTCATTATTTGCAGACACAATTAGCTTACTCTCATCTAAAAATAATAAAATAATTGTACAAGAGTCTCCCATGATAAGGTCAAAATTGTCTAGTAGTAAACAGCAAAATAACCAAGTAGGCCACTTTAAGGTGGATCATTAATGACTGCAAGGTAAAGACAGTGAACTGAATATATCATTCACTGGGTACACAGTACACACAAGACTTGGGCAGATGGTTAACCTATATTTAACATGCACCCAAATATTCCCCTTGATGAGTAGAGTGATCTCACATTAGTGTAGGGGCCATTCACAAAGGATGTCCGAGCCGAGGGGGGGGGGGTTTGGAAAATCAGGACAAACTCGGACATAGGGGGGGGGGGGGGTTAGCAATCCGAATGTCCGAAATTTAAAAAAATTCAAAAACAAATTTCTTTTTTCCCTATATTTTGACCAGTCTTTCCCATTGTGAAATTGGCATTTTGACTATGCGGTTAACACTAGATTTTGTTAACACTAGTAATTTATATGTTTTTGTGTTCACATTTACAGTTATAAAAAAGTTCTAAAAGTAAAAGTTTTTTACTCTTGATATATACAAGATTGCATGAGTTTTTGCGAGGCATGGCGGATGTCCGGGGGGAGGGGGGGTTACTAATTCGGACAATGACGGACAAGGGGGGGGGGAGGGGGGTCTGAAAATCCATCATTTGGCCGGACATCCTTTGTGAATGGCCCCTAAAATAACAAGATAGGAGTCTTTAGGGGAGTTTGGTTGAGTTTTGATGCTCTCCTTCACAAGTTAAACCATTAAAACATAGCTAGCATTAGATAGAGTAAAATACCAAATTAGTGCAAATAAAAATGGCATGTTATTAGCCAACCATATTGCTTTATTTATCTAGAAAACCAAGAATGATAATTTCAAATATACCTCCATGCAACTCAGTGGATACCATATTCTTGTCATTTACTTCACTCGTCAACTGTTCCTCATGTTCAACTTCAACAACAGACTTCAACGATGCATCAAAACCTGAATCCTCAATTTCCTGGACCAGCCTATCAGCATTGGTTTTTGACAAAGAAAAGATGACAGTTCCTTCCTCGTCACTCAATGAAACCTTGATGGATATTACTCCAGGTTGTTCACCCAAGTTCTGTTCAATTTGTTTTACACATGAGTGACATGTCATTCCTTGGATACCAATAATTGCTTTTCTGGTCTTGGTCACAGAGTCCATGCCAATGTTGTCCATCTTTAATGGTTTCTAGATAAAACCCTTGTCCATTATTATGTTGACCCATTATTGACTGATTAATACCATTCCCCTCTACCAAACAAAATTATCTGGTATAGAACAGAATGGAATAATAAAGTAGGGCACATATGGGAAGATAGTTTGGTCAGCCCATATATTCCCAAGGGTCGCTGGCTTTTAAGCAGAGAAAAAATAAAAAGGTCTATTACATGCATAGAAACACGTACACAACAGCAAACTTGCTGCAATGCTGTTATATGCCGATATCAGGATTTCATGCGTCCATACACTGCTTGTTTGGAGATGTAATTGTGACAAACTTGCTAAGCAACTAGATCACAGACGTTTGTGACAACCAGACCAAGCTTGTTGTTAACAAGTTTGCTACAACGTTTTTGAGCCAACAACCTGTCAACAAGGTGCAAGATTGTTATGTGTGCAGGGCAGATTGTGGCTTAATGGATTAATTATTAACCACTAACGATCTAACAAACTGTGACAAATGGATACAACTTATACAGCAAGCTTTAATTAATGCCTTTGATGAAACAAAGCCTTTTATATTACCATTTCCAGTAACGTTTCTTGCTCCGAGTTATCCGACATCCTGGCAAGCTGTTGTGTATTTTAATGCAGTTTATATATTAACCAATTCAGCTTAAACTCAAATGAAATATGTTTAAACTCCCCCTGACAAATTTCCAAATTCCAATTATCCACAATGGCACAGTGCAGCATACAAGAGTTTGTGACCATTAAAGAGCTTGTTTACATATTCATTTTCAACCAATAGAGAGACTTTGTTCCGTCCGGAAATGCCACTTGACGTTTGTACTATAGCTTGTGACGTCCGTGTGAGTTTAGTAGAGGCCAATATGGCAACGCATGCTAATGTGGGGGAAAAATTGCTCATTTGTCCTTGCCTATGGTCCTTGCAAAACGGCTAGCTTTATTGGCAAATAATGCTATGGCATGTGCTTTATAGACCAAAATAGCAGGCAACGTCTTGTCCTCATTGGAGAAAAGTGCATCTCTTAAATCTTAATATGCCGCTAAAGGCCGTATCAAGTTACTACTTGTCTGGCATTGTGCCCAGATACACATTTATAACTAAAGATTTATCGATCCCAAGACTAAGCAAAGTTTTAAAATTAAATCCGGCTCAAAATAGTTTAAACTTTCACTTATCACATGGTTCCATATCCGAAAAACAGAGTGTAGTTTTTCAAAATTTAACCTCACAAACAAGGCACTCAATAATAATAAATTAATTTACATATTTTTACTGGCAGTCTGCCGAGTAAAAAATGCACACCTTTAACTTTGCTTTGTGTTGAATTTAAGTATTATTACAGTTCTTTCGTTCTCTAAATTAAGTAAACGTCTACTAAAATAGTGCTGTTGACGTTATAGTCGAATTTTCAAAACACAAAGTACAGAGGAATATAATGTGTGTCAACGGCGTAGAAATTCTTTCGACGTATTTATGTAAATAGACACTCGTATGTGCTCGCCTGTTGTTATTCTGTCTTTGTTTCGTTGAAACATTCACAAACGATGTATATTTGGAGTAGTTTAAAATACAAAAGCACTTTATAGTTTATATAAATTTAATAAATGGTAAGTAAACTTCTAAATTCGTCGCAGAACGACGAACAAACATGGCCATTGTTACTTACAACAGTTCTTGTTCAATACAAAATTACAGTTGTTTATTACAAACTTAATAGAATTTTTAAAAAGATGACTTTCGCTCACCTTTCAAATGTTTCAAGGTAAAAACCACAATTTGTTTCACTTCAGGAAGATTTGAATTCGTTTATTTACGAAAGAATTCGTCCGTCTTTGTTCCTGTTCGTTTCAGTCACATGACTATAGTGTTGCACCTTTATCAAATGTTAAAGGTGCGGAGATCTGGTCACGTGATTTGCCCCCATTCTTTGAGTGCCTGTGTCGCGAAGCCGTATATTAGACCTATTATCTATTATTTCTATGACGCGAAATCACCAAAAAAGGAAATGAAACAATTAGGACGATTCAATTCAGCATTTTTATTCTAATTTATTGGCGAAAGAAAAGATTAGCCAATATTGATATTAGGGTCTTTAGGCAGCAGACCAGCCAGGCAGGTTTTGAATTCTTTCGTTCTATAAATTATGTGTTGACTTTATAGTCGAACTTTCAAAACATAAAGTACAGAGGAATATAATATGTACAATGTCAATGCTGTAGAAATTCTTTGACGTATTTTTGTGAATAGAACACTCGCATGAGCCGTTCAATTTCCTGTTGTTGTTTCGCTGAAACGCTGACAAACGATGTATATTTGGTATGATTTAAAATATAAAAGCAATTAGCTTATAAAAATGACAAGCAAACTTCCAAATTCGCCGCAAAATGACGAACAAATATGGGCGCCGTTCAACCGATCGTGTTCAATACAAAATCAAAAATACAAAATTACGTTTGTTTACGAATTATGAATTTAATAACATTTTTACATAAGAAGAATTTCGCTCACCTTTCAAATGTTTCAATGTAAAAACTACAATTTGTTTCACTTTAGGAAGATTTGGATTCTTTGTTTACGAAAGTATTGCCCGTCTTCGCTTCGGTTTGTTTCAATCACATGACTATAGTGTTGCACCTTTACCAAATGTTAAAGGTGCGGAGATCTGGTCACGTGATTTGCCCTCATTCTTTGAGTGCCATGTGTCGCGAAGCATTATATTAGACCTATTATCTATTATTTCTATGACGCGAAATCACCAAAAAAGGAAATGAAACAATTAGGACGATTCAATTCAGCATTTTTATTCTAATTTATTGGCGAAAGAAAGATTAGCCAATATTGATATTAGGGTCTTTAGGCAGCAGACCAGCCAGGCAGGTTTTGAATTCTTTCGTTCTATAAATTATGTGTTGACTTTATAGTCGAACTTTCAAAACATAAAGTACAGAGGAATATAATATGTACAATGTCAATGCTGTAGAAATTCTTTGACGTATTTATGTGAATAGAACACTCGCATGAGTGTTCAATTTCCTGTTGTTGTTTCGCTGAAACGTTGACAAACGATGTATATTTGGTATGATTTAAAATATAAAAGCAATTAGCTTATAAAAATGACAAGCAAACTTCCAAATTCGCCGCAAAATGACGAACAAATATGGGCGCCGTTCAACCGATCGTGTTCAATACAAAATCAAAAATACAAAATTATGTTTGTTTACGAATTATGAATTTAATAACATTTTTACATAAGAAGAATTTCGCTCACCTTTCAAATGTTTCAATGTAAAAACTACAATTTGTTTCACTTTAGGAAGATTTGGATTCTTTGTTCACGAAAGTATTGCCCGTCTTCGCTTCAGTTTGTTTCAATCACATGACTATAATGTTGCACCTTTACCAAAAGTTAAAGGTGCAGAGACTGGTCACGTGATTTGTTATCATTCCTTGTGCAACGTCACGAAAAAGGAAATGACTTGCAATTTTGAAAACAATCAGGAAGGATGATTCAGCATTTTCATTTATTGGCAAAAGAAAAGATTAGCCAATATTACTGTATTAGTATAATTACATAGGTGATTATTGAAAATTCTCCACGCTGATTGGTTGCAGTTGAGGTGATTATATTAAACGCGATATAAGCCGATATTTCGAAATGGCGTCCGAAGCCGTTTTGTCAATCAAATGACGAAGAAATGTGTATTTTTTATTTTGTTCCAAATAATCACCTATGAAATTATACTAAAACAATAAGGCTCGGTGATTATCCTCGGTGAAAACATCGACACGTTTCGGTTTTTATGCACCAATAATGTTGCATAACTGATGTACGAACTGCCGAAGTTCATGCTGCAGTTTTAGCTGAACATGATCCAACTTTCGGTTGTTCGTAATCGTACATGGAGAAAGTGCCAAATATTGTCATGTTTATAATGTCACTTTAGACACTTGTGAGTTGTGTGTCAACGTATTTCGACATATTATTCTGTAAATATAATTTAAACATAGTTAGAAAATTGCCTAATTAGAAAATTGGGGCTTTCTCGAGGTATGAACAACTGATTGTAGTATGGTTAATACTTTACATTATACCCATGATTTCATTTGTTCATACTCCTAGGAAGTACTGAATATACTGACTCTTCCACAGTCCCTCATTCGTACGCGCGGTCGCGTAATTTGAGCAGCGCTGATTTGAGGGACTGTGAAATCGTGACTCGAAAACTTGCAAAAACACTCGAAAACTTGCAAATGTGCTCGAAAACCTAAAAAATCGTCGAATAAGAAAGAAATCGTGGATGTTTTGGACGGTAGCGGTCCTTTGCTGTACATGGGAAGTGTTTTGTCTGAATCGTGCGAGGAATTGGAGATATTAATGGAATATTTATCTCTTGAAGACGATGATGGTGAGTGTTGACATTTTATAGCAATATGCCTTTGACTCTTTGACTGTAAAAATATAATATAGGCGAGATTTTGATTAGGTTTTCGTGTTTTATACTGTTTCATGAAAGTGATTGTACCTTTACAAGTTCGTAAAAGCTGGGTAAATGCTCTATAATACGGATTATTTTTATTTAATTCCGCAGAATAATTTCCACGTGCTATTTTATATAAATAATATAAAGTCAACAAGAAGTCCAACCTCGTACAAGAAGTCCTGCTCAGGGGAAACATGAACTGAATCGCTCTCGTCTAACCGTTTTGCCAAAAACGAATATATTTTATGTTGGTCTTAAGAGTTAAGCTATTCTTTGTTTTTGCCAAATGTGTAAGACTTTTCACTTTTGTTTAAAATAGCAATATGTGAAGTATGCATGCTGAATAATAATTTTTTTAATGAAAATTATTTAGCCAATGGGGATCTCAGGTTCTAGCTCCTTGGTTAGTCGTCGGCATTTGAGGTTTAGGAGTTCTGAACAGGCCTCCATGTTAAGGATTTATTTTAACCTCTGTGTTTTACCTAGACCCCCCCCCCCCCTCAGGTTCAGCATTACCACTTCATCACCAGTAAATAGGGTTGGGCAATATTTTGATATTATCAATGATACACGATGATTGTACATACTCAAGATCATCATTAATATTGAAAGTAAAAGCTGAGTCGTCATGGAGTTATCGTGAACTAACAAAGCTTAATCCATCCCTGAATTGGAAACCAAAATTTCATATGGTGTGTAGGTAACAATTGCAAGTGGAATTAATAGTTGAAACAACCTATTTTCCCTCATGCATATATAACTTGATGTGGTACGAGGCTAGCTAAACTAACAATAACGAGGAGCCAACCATGTTAATTTCTTTTGAAAACAAAGTTGTCCATGAGGTCATAAAGACCCAATACTTTATTATTTTGTTTGATAATTGCCAAGGATTTTACACAGAATCCCCTCCCCCAATACCCCCAAGTGAATCCATCCCACTACTACACAAAATCTACTTCTTTCCCTCTGAGTCAGATTTTCATATTTTTGTTCGGGGGGATGGATAAATATCTGGGGGGGGTGCTGCTGCTTACTTTGGCCGGAGCGTGGTGGCAACGCCCGGAAAGGCCAAGGAAAAAGTTTAACAAAATTTTTTTCTGGGCCTGCATGGCGAGATCTGAGACCATATTGGTATTTTACAAATTTAGTAGTAAGAATAATCAAATATGAAACTATCAAATCAAAATATATGTAATTTGCGCCCGGGTGTATATATATATGTAATTTGCCAAATGCCTTTGGGGGTGCATATAATTTCTGGGAGGGTGTGCACCCCCCACCCCCACCCCAGAAAATCTGTGCCTGCTCTGAGTTAACAATGAAAGCATTTTTTTTACAGATCTCTGCAATATTATGTTTACAAGTTCCTTGAAGATATTATTATAATTAATGGTGACATATGTCTGTACATTGTAGAGCATTTTGTACATATTTTGTACTTACTGAGGCCAAATAAAAATAATAGTTGGTTTCAGGTTTCACAGCCATGTTTTATATGGGTAGGTAGGTCGGAAAAGCATTTTATTTAAAAAAATATTTTATCTCAACTGTCACACATAATCAGACGTGCCACATGGGATCAACCGCGAGCTACACATGTTTTGCGAGAAACAAATGCATCAAGGATTAACATAACTAGATAATGATTAAATTATGAGCAAACAAAATACTTTGAAGCAAATGAGTCTGATGACTATTTATATATTCTGATATTTACGAAAAGATGATCCCTACTGGGAAATGTCAATAAAATGTTTATGGTCGGTCATATTTTTGACAGGTCGGTCAGAAACCTGAAACCAACTATTATTTTTATTTGGCCTGAGTACATTTTTTATTTTATTCAGACAATAGATAAATTTGTATCATAATTAAATTTGTATCAAAATCTGTAATTTAATAAATATTCATTCCATCTTGTTTCATTTCTTGTTTTCTTTAGTAGCCTGCAATTAAGAAAAAATCTTCTTAGAAAATCTGACATTTTTGAAAACTTGTTACATGTATATACACAAGGCTGTCGGAAGTGAATCAATATTGGGATGCGGTCTCAAGAATAAATTTGAATTGCTTTTGCACTTTTCAAGTTCTTTTGTGTGTGTTTGCTCATACAAATGGAATATGAGGGGGCTTATGCTGCCCCCCCCTTCTGAGTTCTGACAACCTTGATACATAATCTAATTGGTACCTGGCTAGGCCCCACCCACCTATGTTTTTCCCAACGAAATTATTAATAAGAACAGTATACTAAAAGAGGTTCAAACATGGGGAATGTTTCTGCAAAAGCTGGGTGTGCCTGATAAGAAGCATCCCTATGTATAGCAAGCCTTTTTTAAGGTACTATCACTGTTTGAATCACTCAAACCTGATGCTGATTGCTAAGTAAGTGCACAAAGGTTTGTTTTGAAAAATGCATTAATAAAACCAAGTCAGTATGGTGTTAAGCCTCAAAAACTGAAAACAATAGACTTGGCATAGACCCTCGACCCTTCCTGCAAGGGGTGCAAACAATAAAATTGCCTATAGATAAATTTGCAAGGGATGCAATTATGCAAACACAATGGTGAAAACAATTAACAATATATTCAAGGTGGCATCCTTAACCTTGCTACTTGCACATGGTGCAAAGGCTATAAAATGATTGATTAATAGAAATTAATGTAACAATATTTTACCTGAGATTCCGATTCGACAGGGATTATATATTTTGATCAGCGTATGTCTTTAATTTGACAGAGTGCAAAAGAAACATTCCGTATATTTTGGCAACTTCTTTCGGATCTTGGCCAAATATGGAAATAACGTTCCTTCTCCAGAAACGTCGAACCAAGAACTACTTGCCAATGTCTACACTCTACAACAGTCAAAATAAGATCGATATTTTTAAATATACACATATATTAATAAATTGCGACAATTGATACATTTTTGAGCGTAAATATGTAAAATGTAAATGAACAACCTTCGTACCCTTCTTCAATAAACAGGAAATATACTTTAACGTTTCCTCGCCATACATAACGGCCTTGAAAAATCCTCCCTATTTATTTGCATTATCTCGGCCATTTATAAATACAATGGACGCCATCTTGGATGCGGGATTTCCGAGCAGTGCTTCCATTTTCAAAATCAAAATTTCTCATTTTTGTCATCAAAATTTCTCTAAATTCCTTAGATTGTATACGTTATTTCCTTGAAAATTCCTTGAAATTTCATTAGGCGGTTTGCAGACCTTTGCAGTGCTTTTGTAGCAATACAAAGGATTTAATCAATTTTAAAGGCACAAAATAGCACAATTAACAAAGATAATTGCTAGCTAAAAAACCACAGGCTATTATACTGTTTAAAATTAAATATTTGTTCAGTGAGTTTACAACATATACCTTTCCATTGATATAAATAATTAATTGCAGCGTTTGGCGCCAAAATATACCAAATCCTGTCGCTCAAAAACTTTCGGAAGTTTTCGGAAACACGAGGAAAAAGTTAAAACCAGATTTTTAATTGAACATAATTGATAATTCACTCAAAAATTCAAGAAATAGCGAAACATTCTTCTGCCCTAATGCACTTGGATGAATATTTAAGTTGTTGGGAAAAAATCCTTAGATTTCCTTAGATTTTTTCTCTTCCTTAGATTTTCCTTTTCGACACTAGAATTTCTTTAGAAAAGGAAATTTCCTTGAAAATGGAAGCACTGTTTCCGAGTCGCTTCAGATTCTATCGCATTCCCATTAAGCACCGCGCTCCCATTGTTTTCCACTGATCTCTATTCCCAACTGAAGCGACGAGGGACGAGGCAGCTGAATATAGTCATGTTTAATGTTATTGTTGTGTCTATAGAGTTTAGGAGGACCAGATTGGAAAAAAGTTGTAACTTTATCTGTTTATATCCTCAATAAATAAAGTGTTATTATTATTATTATTATTATTATAATCACCTCGCCTTCGGTGAATAATTGTTAAATATAGGGACAGCCAGTGAGGTTTAAAATGAAATGACTTGCAATTTTGAACATGTGCACAAATGTACAACAATTTAAAATCATCATGATCAATGCAATTATTGGCTAAATTAAATTAATCATTGATTAATCATCAATTGAATTATTTGGCCTAAAAATAGTATTGGCAAAATTAATTTATGAAAATTTCAACATAAATTATGCTAATTACCTTACCAGTTCTACCAACATGGCTGCTTTCCGCGTTGGAAGAGGAGCGCTAAATGTGCTGAATTCTCGTCTCATTTCTCCAGTTTTAGCTAATAAATCTTCTCCTTGTAGGAAAATACATACCGCATGGCTACTCAATGCAGGTAATACACAAAAATATCACTAATCGAAGCTGTTTAAACTCAACCTTGTTGCTTTAATTTATAATATAAATCACGTCAAATGCGTGGGTTTTAACTTTGATTATTTTGTAGGTATCTTTAGTAAAATACTTTTTAGGAACGAAGGAAATTAAGATTCGTTATAAGAATATTCAAATTTCTTTAACACACACAGTCGGCCAGCCCGCCAATCTTCCACCTCCTAATTTTTTTATGCCAAAAGCTCCTTTGTGCTACGCCAAGTGGCTATGCTTTCCGCCAAATATCTTGAGCTGATGGGTATCGGAATCCAATCAGGATTGGGTGAATTTATAAGGAAAATCCTTTGTCAAATTGGT